TATATCCATATATATCAGAGATTGTTTTGTACATGTACGGCAAGGGGTTCAGACATGTTATCCCAATACACTCGAGGTATCGAACTCAATTCCCTCACCCTCACATGGTCACGTCACAGATTGGGATCATTTCTCTTCCAACGAATCCAAAAAGATGGCAAGGATTCCCGATTTGACACTCTCAAGCCGTACTTCTTCCGATTCTTCAATGTTTGGTCCATCCAAGGCCTGTGGGTGTTCTTAACGGCATTGCCCGTGTACACCCTTAACAGTAGCGAAGACACAAGACCATTGACGTTTGTCGACTTATTAGGTATGATGCCAATGGTGTGAGTGTGTGGCCTGGTGAAACACTTGGTCGTTTTGGAATGACTATTTGACGTAAGCTTCCTGTGACCTAGTAGTGATTAGGGTGCATGGTAGCTCATGGGGCCTATTTCGTCCATGTAGAGAACCTTGTGTTCATCTCAGAAGTAGATGATTGCTGAGAATACATATACTCGCACATATTAATACCAAATAGCTTACCCATGTACACTCACGCATATTATTATCTTGCTAGTTAATGAGCAAGAGTGTAGGCATATATTGATATTTCCTCTATCGGATTGTGTTACCGGTTGTATGTACGTGCGCGCGTGTATGTGTATGACTCGTCAACTGCCGGCCGGAATAGCTATAGCAATATAATCTCCCCATGGTTCGCTTAGCCGCAGACTGTCTTCAGGTGTATCTGACCACCCACTGTACCTGTCATCTTATCTTACCTCATCTTGTCTCATCTCCTCTCCTCTCATCTCATCTCACCTCCTCTCCTCTCACCTCCTCTCATCTCGTCCAGGCCTCTGTCTGTGGGTATTTGGCTTTGCCTTGGAGGTGACGGCTGATCGACAGAAGTCTGAGTGGCGAGACAACCCCGTGAACAAAGGTCGGTTCATTACGGTGGGTCTGTGGGGTCTGAGTCGACATCCCAACTACTTCGGCGAGTCTACGCTGTGGCTGGGCATGTTTATAGTGAGTACACCCATCCTGCACGGGTGGCAATGGATCTGCGCTATCAGGTATGCAGGTTCCTGTGCATGCCTGTGCGAGTACTATGCGAAGGACAATCTAAATCGGATGAAACAGCTTGTGAGATTGGTGTTCACCTATGTACTGTTTTAATTACATGCGCCTGTGCCATCTACAGATTCATTACCCATCCCACGTGCCATACTAAGAATATCTCTCGGTTGGTTTGTGTGATTGGGTGCGAGCAATGTTTGTAGACACTCGTGCGTGTGTGCGGTGTGTGCATGTGCATGTGCATTTTTTTAGATAGTTTCTTTGTATCCTTGTATATCGTTCTGCACTTTGTATTGTAGCGGCCACATACCTGAATCTATTTGATATTAATGTACACACATGCCAGAATGGACCCTTATCTATGACAGCCACAATAGGACTGATTGCACTGTGATGCAACTGTTATATTTGTATGGTTGGCGATACCCACAAGCACATGGAGTATGTGATAGGCTGTGAGCACAATCCTGCCTATATGTATGATTCACTATCAGCACATGTGTGCCTATATGTACGTTTATGTATATATCTGGGTCCGTACACATGTAGTATAAAGAAAAATTGCCCAGAAAGACGTGCACGTATCAACATGTATTGTTCTTGATTCTATTGCAGCCCCATCTTTGTTGTGTTGCTGTTGACGAAGGTCTCCGGAGTGCCACTACTAGAGAAAAAAGCAGACGAGAAATGGGGCGATGAAGAGGAGTATCAGAAATACAAGCGGGAGACACCTATATTTATCCCGAAATTGCCCTCAATGTAGTCTAAAAAAAGATCAACAAAAATAAAATCAAGGATGTATATACTTATATGAAAGAGAAACTAGAGTTATTGCTGGGGATGTACGTACTTATATGAAAGAGAAACTAGGGTTATTGCTGGGGATGTACGTACTTATATGGAAGAGAAACTAGGGTTATTGCTGGGGATGTACGTA